TGGAAACGGCCTCCAGCAGAAAGCCCGGTGGATTGCTGGGCTCGGCCTGTCTGTTCCCCTTCACGCTGGGAACGTGGTTCTGCAAGGCCTGTTGCCTGGGATCTGAGACAGTTGTTTCATGGATTTTGTTCAGTTTTCAGTTCTCACTGGCAAGTGAGGAAATCCAGATACTGTTTCTCTCTTATGGTTGGAAGCAGAAGGCACTTTTCCTTTCTAGAGAGACATGCTTTTTGAAGCAGTGAATTTTAACAGGTTAACAATAATGTTTGAGGGTATCTTTTTTGCTCTCAAGCATGTTAAAAAGAAAACCATTTATTAGGAGGGGCATTAAAATGGGGTTTTTCCTAGCTGAATTTAATGCCAAGTCAGTCCTTGTAAAGCATGTAGTAGTCTCTGAATCCAGACCTTAAGGAGCCGTCAGTTCACTGAGACAGCTTCTGCTTCTGTTTTAATCGGAGCTGTTGGTCTAGTGAGTCACACTTTCACAGTTTACGTTATGGGGTGTTTTTTCCTGAATCTCAGTGTTTACCTTTTAGATTAGTCATTAGCAGTTGATTCTGCTCTAAATTACTGTCCCCACATTGGCACAAGGTAATCAGCTGTGTGACATTCGGGGACCCCTTACCTTCTCATCTCTAAGTAGTGGGAGCTGGACTAAAGGGACTTTAGGGTCCCTTCCATTCGTTTATTCAGTAAATATTTATTGAGTGTTCTGAGCACTGGGGCTACGTTAGTGAATGCGACAGACAGGGACCCCCTGTCTCACAGAGCCTCGTGGAGTACAATGACAACATATACTATAAATAAAAATCAAATGGGAAAGAACTAACTTTGGTGAGGAGTGCTACCAAGAAAACAAACTGGGGAAATGGTGATGGGGTGGGGCCCCCATTGGATAGGGTGGTCCAAGAAGGCTTATCTGAGGAGGTAACATTTGAGCTGCCATCCAGATGAGCAGAAGAAACAGCCATTTGAAGCTCTAGGGCAAGGATATTTCTAGGCAGAGGGAAGAGTAGGTACAAAGGCCCTGAGGTGAGCCCAGACCTGGACGGTGAAAGAACTGGATTGTTATGAGTGAGGGGCCAAGCAGCATAAATGATGGGGGAGATCTAGTCATTGCTGGCAGTCTGTGATTCCGAGACTCAATCCTGCAATGAAGACTGCTCTACCTAAATAGGGCACAAGTTAGATGTCACATGGCCCCATAGGTGGATAACCAAGAGTCCCAGGAGTCATATTGGGATGGGTGTGGTGGGTCGAGGCACTGGCAAGATCACAGGGTCTGACATCAGCAGGGACTGTAATGGCACCAGTGAGTTAATACAGTTTTAACAGGAAGAGGAAGGCCAAGTTTCAGCAGTCCTGGGCACCGTGAGCCAGCATGAATCCCCTTTCTAAATTTGGAGAACCATGGATAGCTCCATAGGACCTGTTGCCTCAAAGAAAATGTTGGCCTTTTTCTGGAGCTCACATGTAAAGGCTACATGGACCCCAGAGCCTAGAAATCCTGCTTCTTTGGAAGGAAGCCACCAGGAAAACTGCTTGGAGAGCTCAGGAATGTGTGACGTGTAAGTAGGAAAAGAAAAGACACTGTGAGAAGCAAGAGCAGTTCGAGAATGGAAGGGGCTAATCCAAAACCACCAGGCTTTGTCCCGGTGCAAGGCAGCTCCCAGCACTCAACACTCCTCCCATATTGCCAGGGTCGTTCTTCTTGTACTTTAATACAGCACCAGTTACAAATTCAGTTCAGGGTTAGTAACTCTTAAAGACCCAAACAGCTCTCACTTGTCGTTGTTAGCACACTGGCATGTGTGGTCTGCAAGAACGCCCTCCTCCTGAGAATGCTGGAGCCTCCAGCCTGTCTCCACTCATGTCCCTTTGTCACATCACTCTTCACCTTGGAGTCGTGTGGCCTCCCGGCTTGCCTCTGCATGGGCTCAGTCCTGATGTGATCTCTTCAGGCAGAAAAATCGTGATTGTCACGCTTCATCTAAATATCATTGTCCTCTCACCTGCAATTGTATCTCTGTGTTCCATAAAACAACTTGCTTGAGTTTATTGATGGCCTCTAATCTCCCCTCCCATTACCTCTTCTCCATTCTCCTCCACCTCTCTGTGGCATATGCCTCTGTTGATGCATGCTCATTGCCATGGCATTCTCTCCGTCCTGTGGGGAAGCCTATGATTGCCTTCCTCCCCCTCTCCTGCCGCCTGGCCCTGTGCTCCCCAGCAGGCTTGCTCATTTGCTCTTCCCTTTGGTGTTCTTACTTCTCAGTTCAACCATCATTTCTGGGCACAAGCTCCCAAGTACTTATCTCCAACCTTGACTTCTCAGGCCCCACTTCTGGGCTCTGTAGCATCTTCACCTGAATAATCACCATGGATCAAACCAAGTTTCTGTTCCTCACTTCTCCCCCAGCTACATCAAACTCCCTTGTGGATGCCCCCTCTCGCCTAGGCACCCAGGCTCAATGGTTCAGAATTATTCATGATCTGTTTCTCTATACTTGAGAAGTTATCTGGTCATGTTGACTCTAGCTCCAGATTGGAGTGGGTTGAGGAATGATGCACAGAGGGAAAAGTGGAGACAGCAAGTATAGACCAGGTGAGCCTATGATGGACACGAGAATAGAGGGCAGTGCTGAGAAGAAGAGCAGAGTAGAGGGGGTTTCTGAGAGTAAAAGAGATTGAAGAACGTTTTTAAACACAGATGGGGGAAGGATCTGATAGAGGAGAAGTTGAAGGTTCAAAGAAAGAGAAAGGATCCTTGCTAGCTTCCTCAGAAGGATTCAGCAACACGCTGTCTTACTGGTAACAGCTTATCAAATGCTCTTTCAGTTAGAAATACTCCAGGTTACAAATCCTTTAGAAACTTATCCTATAGATTTGCCAGCATTGGAAAGACATAAGCCAAGGTTATGCGTTACAGCATTGTTAATATCAAAAAAATCACTGAATATCAGTGTTTATTGCAGTGTGGATTGGTAAATGAATTATAGAGCATCCATTCAGTGGACTGCTGTGCAGTCTTACAAAAGAATAAGGAAGCTATGACCTGATAGACAACAATTTCTAAGATACTGTCAAATATAACAAAACGCTACATTTGGTATACTACCATTTGTGTTTGTTAAAAGGGGGAGGTGGTGAAGGAGAAACATTTATATCCTTATTTGCTTGTATTATACATAAAAACACTCTGGAAGGATCCCTGGAAACCAGAACTGTGGCTAACTGGAGGGTCAGGGGTACTGGGAAAATTGGGGGGTTGGGGTGGTGGGAGGCCTTTGGCCGTGTATCTTTTTATATTTTTGGATTCTTGAGCCATATATGTGTATTATAACCTCTTCCAAAATTTCAAAAAATTGAATTTATTTTTAAAAAACCCTCCAAAATATTTCTGCCAATTAAATGAAAGTCAAATTGTTTGACCAAGACGATTGACTTCTCTAAATGTCCTTTCATGAGTCTTTTCTGGTGGCTTTGGCTTATTTTCTTTCACTTTAGAAGAAATATTTCTGACCCATAATTAATCATGTTCTTCCCTTCAGAAAACTTCTGTCATTGCTAATTTTATTAGCAAAGCCTAATCCAGTTTGCTTACATTTCTTTCCCTTTCTTCCCCTACGCGAAGGCTCTGTACATTCATTACCAGCTTAGACAGTACTTAGACAATTCATATAAATAGGATAATTATTTACCTTAATACTTGGATTCTTACCCTGACATATCTTGGTAACTCGAGGAAAGTATTAAATGAAACTCTTGACTTTATATAATAAGAAATGTTAAGTTCAGGAGACCATATCTTTAAGACTGATTGAAATACAGCAACCAGGTTGATGTTGAGGAGCTGACACAGGAGGGAAAGGTAGCGGAACATTTTATGTGGCAGGAAAGAGAGCTGTCTTCAGCTATTTAAAAGACTATTTGAAAACATAGAACTAGGATCAGTGGACAGACAATGTAAGTAGTCACGTCCCAGGGCATCAGAAGAAAACCCCTGAGCGTCTCGAGTGCCCCACGAGGGGGCAGTGTCTGCAGTGGTGGCTGTGGCCCCACTCCATAGACCACTAGAAATAGATGGGTGCATCGCCTGTCGTACAAGTCGATTGAATCAATTTCCTTTTTTCTTTTTTTTTTTTTTTATTTTTTTTTTTTTTTTTTTCCCTCAAAGCCCCAGTAGATAGTTGTATGTCATAGCTGAACATCCTTCTAGTTGCTGTATGTGGGACGCGGCCTCAGCATGGCAGGAGAAGCGGTGCGTCGATGCGCACCCGGGATCGGAACCCAGGCCGCCAGCAGTGGACCGCGTGCACTTAACCGCTAAGCCACAGGGCCAGCCCTCCTTTTTTCTTTCAGCTTGTGAGACCCATTCTCTTTTAACTCCATTCTTCAAAAGTCTCAAATTTTGTAGCTTCTTTTCAGCAAGTACCTTTCCATCTTTATTTCTTAGGCAAGATAGAGCAAGAGGGTGATTTCCTTGTCAGACTTTGAAGAAAAACAAGTGCCTTTAAAAGTAGACTTTCCTGGGCCAGCCCCGTGGCTTAGCAGTTAAGTGCACTCACTCCGCTGCTTGTGGCCCGGGTTCGGATCCCGGGCATGCACCGAGGCACCGCTTCTCCGGCCATGCTGAGGCCGTGTGTGCCACATACAGCAACTAGAAGGATGTGCAACTATGACATACAACTATCTACTGGGGATTTGGGGGGTAAAAAAAAAAAAAAAAAAAAAAAGGAGGATTGGCAATAGATGTTAGCTTAGAGCCGGTCTTCCTCAGCAGAAAGAGGAGGATTAGCACGGATGTTAGCTCAGGGCTGATCTTCCTCACAAAAAAAAAAAAAAGTAGACTTTCCAAAGGTTCTAATTTTTAAGGTTCCTGCATTAATACATTAAATCCTGGATTTGTAGTGAACATTTTTACCTAATTCAAAGATGGCACCGGGTAGTGAATTGGTAGCAGGACATCACGGACCACTGTGATTTCAAACTCTTGGCAGGTACATCTCCGTTTATGGACGCGTTAACAGCCAATGGAACAACCAACATACAGACATCTGTTACAGGAGTGACAGCTGGGAAAAGGAAATTTATTGACGACAGAAGAGACCAGCCTTTCGACAAGCGGTTGCGTTTCAGTGTGAGGCAAACAGAAAGTGCCTACAGATACAGAGATATTGTCGTCAGGAAGCAGGATGGCTTCACCCACATCTTGTTATCAACAAAATCATCAGAGAATAACTCACTAAATCCAGAGGTGAGAGACGTTCCTTGAGCTGATTTGTGCTTCCTGTTTCTCTACGTGCTTGTTTTCCCGGCCTGCTGGCCAAATTGGCGCTCTTCTTTGTACTCTTTCTAACTCTCCTTCTGGGCCATCTCAGTGCCCACCAGAAGGCAGGAAGCAGAGGAGGTTTGCAGTCTTGCTCCCTCTAAGACTTGTGACTGCAGGAGAGTTGGGACAGTATGCGTGTGTGAGTGTCCATCTTCATTCTCAAGGGTGTGGGCTGGGATGGGAGGCAGAGTTCTGCACGGGGGGAGGTGGTAATTGTGCCTGCATCCTCCTTCACCTCTGGGTCAGGAGGTCTTAATCCAGGGAGCCTCCCTGAGGTCACATATAAAATGTGTGTGCGCACACGCTTTTCTTTAGCTTTCATCAGATTCTCGGGAGGGTTCTTTGTTCAGACAAGATTAAAGTGCTTGGGTCCCAACCCCTTCAGGATATTGTACCATCTTTCCTAGTCACTGTTCAGCATCAGAGTGGAGCTTACAGCTATAGAGATTTCAGCACATGTTCGTTGCTGATAGTACCTGGTAAAGTTAGCTTTCAAGGATCGAGGGAAACTGATGCTTGCAAAGGTTCGACAACTAATTCTATGAAGTATCTAAAATCGGAAATAGTTGAACCTGCATTGCACCTTACTTAAAATTTTAAATTCTAGTAGTTATTTATTTTCCACTTGTGAGCAACTAGGTCCAGTTTTTTCCAGACAAGAAAACCAAACTACAGCAAGTTTGTGTGTCTGGCCAGGGTCACATGACAAACCAGGGTTGGTTCCCAGTACATTTTTGGACTCGAGTCCCTTCATCGGTGATTTGTAAATGCTTCATAGAGATCATTTTAAATGGTTTTGTGCCCTTCTAAAACTACTCCTCCATGTTAATGTGCTTGTACTTAATACTTTTCTGCACGCAGCTAGCGGGGTTTCTGTCCCAGGTGTGGTGGGCTGGTGTTAATAAAAAAAAAAAAAAAAAAAAAGGAACTGACTGGTTTCTTTCATCTGGTTGAATGTGCCACCTGCTGTCCAAACTGTAGAAACACCAGGTGGATATACCATGTAAGTTGCCTGACCTCCCGAGAGCCACAGTGACTAGAATATTAAGGTAACTTAGATTCACACGTCTTTCTAATTATACTCTCTTCATAATCAGTTATGTAATTATACTCTGTCCCCAGCATTCCCAGTCTCTCGTTAGAGAAGATAAGAAGTCTGCGAACAATTTTAAATTGTGGTAGTCATAGGGAACGGTGTCAGACCGTAAATGCACTTTGTGCAGATCCAGATTATCCAGTAATCCAGTGCTCGTAGCATTCTTACCAGGAGTGCTCTTTGCCACTTTAACTTCTGGTGACTTGCAGGTGATGAAGGAGGTCCAGAGTGCCCTGAGCACGGCCGCCGCTGACGACAGCAAGCTCGTGCTGCTCAGCGCCGTGGGCAGCGTCTTCTGCTGTGGCCTCGACTTTATTTATTTTATACGGCGTTTAACAGATGACAGAAAAAGAGAAAGCACTAAAATGGCGGAAGCTATCAGGTATGCATAAATGGTATTGTTTAAACGTTGGTTGAGTGTTTTGCTTTTAGTGTGCCAATGCCCGATAGAACAGGCTTCAACAAGCCTTACAAACAAAATGTCTGTCTCCTTCCACCGAGAGACACTAGTGGCAAAATTAATTAAATCATCTGCCTTTTCTGTGGGCCTGGCATAAATTACTACTTGCCTTGAGCAAATAACTTATTTCAAGGCTGGCTCAAACCCAGCAAGTGCTCAGGGAATGTTCGAATGATGAGAGTATGCAATAGCGTGTAGCCCAAGTTTCCTTTATTTGTTCTATGAGTGTGTTCTGTCTTCAACCCTTAAATAAAGATCCGCTCTCTTTCACATCATAACTTACCATTTGCTTAACTATAAAATAAATTCACTAAGCTTTATGACAAGCTACTTCCATAACATCACATAAAAAGTTTTTTTAGTACAAGCAGTACACATTCTTGTTGAAGGTCATCCTCAGTTCCAACGACACACAAAACTAGATAATAAAGAGGAAAAGTAAAAGTTCCCTTTCTCTCAACCCCCTCCCTCCAAGGTGTCCACTGCTCATTCGTTATGTCTTCCCCAGCCTTGTTCTAAACATTTTCAAGTATGTATTCCATACAGACACACAAATAATAGAGATTTATTTTTAGTTCTGTTAAATAAATGGAATTAATACTGTGTGTTATTTTGCAACTTGCTTCTTTTGTTTAACAGTATAACTTTATATATTTCCATTTTCTCTGTTTTTGGACTTTGCGCTGGTATATCATAACAGTGTAAAAAGCTTTCCCTAGAACTACACAATTCTGGTTAAGCATATCCAGGTACATATTTTGTTTATATCCCTCACTTTTCATGCTAAGCACTGTAAGTATAGTTAAAAATATCTGTTTTTTCAGAGATTAATTTTATTTAAAGTGAATGAAACCCAGTCACCAACCAGAAAGACCAATGAACTGCCCCGCCCCTCCCTGAAATGACATATCCCTCAGTAATCCCAAGAACCCTTTGTGAATGCCTTCATCATTTACAGAACGATGGAAACTTAGGGATGCAGACTTGCAGATGGCAGTGAAGTTGGTTAGATCTTCTCCAAAATCCCCAGATATTTGGAGAGTTGAAGTTGAGCTACTTTGGGCTCCAAGTGGCTGAGACCCTAAGCACTGACCTTGGGGGCACATGGCTGGATGTACCTCGAGATTGGTGGGGGCACTTCTGTTTTGGTGGGTCTAGAGTGGGGTGGACATCTCTCTCTCTCTCTCCCTCTCCCTCTCTCCCTCTCCCTCTCCCTCTCTCCCTCTCCCTCTCTCCCTCTCCCTCTCCCTCTCTCCCTCTCTCCCTCTCCCCCCCTCCCTCTCTCCCTCTCCCTCTCTCCCTCTCCCTCCCTCCTCCCAAGAGAGTTCTGGTGGATGCTGGAGTCCCACACCTGGGGGTTATAGAGCATCCCCTTGGCCTTTTATAACATTATTAATCATTTTCAAAATTAATATCTTTTCTCATACTGTATACACATGCATGCATATATGCATACAGCAGGTTATCTATTCCTTAATCTTTGAACATCACCAGTTTTAGACTATTTAGAGTAGTTTGTAGACTATTTTGTTTTTTTAAAAATAGTTTGAAATTTTATAATCTGATTTTATTAAGTATTATTTCTGATCTTCTGAGCAGTTTCAAACATGTAGTGTAGTAGATGGGACCATCTTGTTATTCAATTTCAAATTAAACTGCTTGATCAGTGCACATAATTCTTTGACAGATTGTCAGTACCTCTAAGACAACTTGCAGATATTCCTAATTATTAACCCATCCCATCCTTTCATGATGAAATACACAAATTTAATTTTAATTTTTTAGATACAAACTGTTATGCCTCAGATGGTGATTTCGTATGTTTTCTGTAAGATCACACTGACTTGACACATAATATTGTGATTTGGGAGCTCTGCTGTAATAAGAAAATAGGATTTCCGCCCCTCTACCTCCTCAGTTCTGGCTTACTTTCTGCCCCCTGGACATTTCCCTCAGCCTCACCACTGAATCCTGTTGGTGCCTCAGCCCTAGTCCAGCCCAATCCTCTGGTGTTGAATTGCCCTTGACAGTGGCTACGGCTTATAGTGTGGGATTAGAAAAAACAGAAGAGAGAGAGATCTCATTTGTTGAACTTTTAGGTAACTTTAAATGTTTATTTTCATCAGCTGCCCACTCCCGTTTCTTCTCCAAACCCTTCCACTCCCAGCTACTCTCCTTGCTCTCCACAAAAAGCTGAATTGGTATTCTAAGAAAAAGCCAAATCCTGCGTTAGGGAAACCAACTTAGTTCTTCTTTAAATGAATATGTTTTTGTCAGTGTGAATTTTTCTTAATGGCAGGATCCAGAAAATAATTAATTACACCAGATTCATTTAACCTTTACTCTTGCTCATTTGCATTTAAATTAATTTTTATACGTATAAGATTGGCTTATACACATAAAGCTAATACTATGTATATTTTTTGTTTCTGTGGTGTCTTGTCTCGAATTCCTTAAAACTTTGGGGCAAAGAATGTCATTGTAGCAAGTTTCCAAAAGAAAAGTGGGAAATAAGAAGATTAAACATTAGATCATCAGGTATCTATGCAGCTAATTCCTTTATCAGGATTGTTGGTGATAACCAGTTTTCAGATTAATGGTAATAAAAATATTCACATTAGTGATAAGAACAAAATTATTATGAATCAGCTTATAAGATTAGGCTTTTGAAGTCTGCGGGAACCGGTAGCTGCAGCTTTGTGTCTGAAGGGCCAAGAGCCTCCTCTCCCCAGCAGGGGGCATCTTCTGCCACCACGAGTGAGACGAGACCAGCAGGGATTTGGGGGGAGAACACAGCGAGTGAGTGACCATCCCCTAGAGCCTGACCCCTTCCCCATTCAGTCCTGTTCACCACAGTCATGGTGACAAGAGGACGCAACTAAAAGGTCAGTGAGCTGGCTATTAAAACCACAGATCCCAGTGCCTCGTGTCCCCTCAGCAATTCCTAGACTGTCGTGCTTATGTGATTTTCTAACTTTTTGGTGATGCTGGTGAAGTAGTAAATGTTCTTCAAAGAATAGATATCATTTTGGTTTTGTTTAATAAGTCTTTTTAAGCTAATTTTGTAGAAAATATAATCTCTTTCCTTTCCTGCCATACCCAGTACAGTCTTCCACTCAACTGACAGATAAGTCAGAGGAAACTGAAATTTAAATTCAGTGTGGTACATTGAGCACATCTGGATGTTCATTTGTTTTGATTTTAAATTTTAAAATATACTTGCTTTATGCTCAGCAAAAGTGGCAGACAGACAGGCCCTCCTGTACTGCCGGGCTCCTGAGAGCTTCAGCCCAGGCCTGAAGGCAGCTCCTGCCTCCCCGCCTGTAGCATGTGGCTCAACGTGCAGCTCACGTGACAAAGCTTTGTGGCTCTGGGAAGTTTCTACTAAACAGAAAAGCATTTCTATGAAGTGTTTCGTTTGTTTTTTTAAACAAAATGAATTTCTCTGTGGACCATGCTCGTTTCTGGCACAGTCCCACATCAGAATGGCCAGGTTGTGTCCTCTGAAAGGGGAAGATGGTCTTCACTCATACTCCTCCCAGAAACAGCCACGGGTTTCAGATTAAGTTATCATCCCAGGCAAAATAAAAATAAAATCATCTGTTTAGGGGGAAAAAACTCAATTCCAAACAATTTCTTCACCCTGTTAAAAATCCAAGCTTGGATTTTGCAATATCTATTTTAGAAGCAGATTTTTTTCTTTTATACAAACATATAACATGAGAGGGAACGCTGCTACCTGGAGTAATTAATTCCTTTTACCATTTCTCTCTAGAATCACTTTATTGTTACACTGTTCTGATCATTCCTTTCATGTTAATCTGCCATCCCATCCGTGATCTCCAGATGTTGTTAGCACAGGAGCCATTTCTGCTTTGCCCCCATTCCTGTGAGGCAATGGAAGCGGAGCTGTGCCAGGACGCCCAGGGAGACGCGTTTTGAAAATGTCTGCTTTATGTCATGGGAACAATTCAGCAGTTACCTTTTCAAGAGTCATCAGTAACTGAGCATCGAAAATGTATTTCCATCATGTGTCATTGACCCAAAATCCTCAAAACGTGGCACAACTGCAGTAGCTTCATGTAAATTATCTATGATTATTTCAAAAACCTATTTAAAAGCTTCTCTGACTGTTTCATTAAAACCCAGCGTGATCTTTTCCAACAATGCCTCAGGCTCTCTCACTTTAGAAAGTCCTAGTGTAGCTCATTCATTTGAGTGAGTTAATTCTCACTCCATGGGAAGATCCCACAAACCTTGGGGGTGTTTTGGGAGCCAGCTAAGCTCTGCCTGAGGTCTGCGTGCTGACTGTGGGGTGCCTTTGAGAACAGTCCCTGGAGCTAGGCTTGCAGGCTGCCAAACTCTGCATCCCTCCTCTCCCCTCTTCTTTACACACGCAGACACTCTCACACTTCTCCACTCTTCCCTAACCTGCCCTCCTCCAAAAAAATACATGGCCCTTCATGTCAGTATTTGGGGAGGAGGGGAGACTTACCTAAGATGCTGAAGCATGATTTACAGAGATAATCTGAACAGAATGCTCTAGCTTTTAAATTGCTGAATTACAGAGAGTGCCCAGATTGTTCTTTTCAGTACTAAAGATGGGGGTCGAGTTTAGAATTTAGAATTCTGTAGTTCTGACCTAGAACTCAGACTGCCTTAAAGGAATTATCTTGTGTTTATTTTGGTGTGTGTTTGTCCGTTTCTGCACCATGTTAAATCATAGCAAGAAACAACCTCTGAACATAAAATTAGATACTAGTGGTGGGAAGAAGCTGTACATTCCCAGTATGGTGTGGCATCAACCCACCCTAGACTGAAAAGCAGCCTACTTTTCCAGCCTGGTCCCAAAACAAATCCAAAAATAGCGTTGGCTGGGTTTTGTAAAAATCCACATCCTCTGTGAAGGCTGCCCTATCCCTAGTCTTACTCTCCTTTGCAATCCTGCTCTGATTGTATTCCACAGCACACAGTGGCATACAAAGTGGAGTGTAGGCGCGTGTCTCTGGTGTTTGCTGTTCTTGTTTGGACTCATGTCTTAAACCAGCCTGTAAGCTTCAGGTCTCTGCATCCCTCAAGCCATTCAGTCTAGTTCTGGATCAACCCAGGAATTATCTATAGTTTCCAAATAATCGGTGAGCTGTCTGAAATCACACACCAAGTCCAGACTCAGACCCCATGGTTCCTGACCGCAGTCCACTAGTCCTTGCTCAACACCAGGCAGTCTCAGTAGGCCCCATGCCACATTTTCTCTGGGAGAGCTTCTAGATTGGTCCTCTGAAGCCCATAGTGTTTACTGGGCTCCTTATGTCTTAAAAGGAAGAAAGAGCGAAGAGAAAGACGTATTAGTCGTAGAGCCCAAGAGCTAGCCACAAATACAAGAGCAGCCTCTGGCTGTATTTTACCGGTAATCTTCATGTAGGTCCTGTGGCGACAGCCACTTCCAACCTGGCATCCAGGGTATCTGTAAGCCTTTACAGCATGCAGTAAATAAATCCTTGGTCCACATGGATTTCTGGGAGAAAGCCTTCAAGTAGTCTCAACTCTTAATGATTTCCAGAGTTTACATCTTGGTTAATTGAAGTCCATAATAGTGGATTTTTCTGTTGCTCAAATACACAATGTTTTGAGTAATTTTTCATTTATTTTTCATTTTAGAAACTTCGTGAATACTTTCATTCAGTTTAAGAAGCCTATTATTGTAGCAGTAAATGGCCCAGCCATTGGACTAGGAGCATCCATATTGCCTCTTTGTGATGTGGTTTGGGCCAATGAAAAGGCTTGGTTTCAAACACCCTATACTACCTTCGGACAGAGTCCAGATGGCTGTTCCACTGTTATGTTTCCCAAGATTATGGGAGGAGCATCTGTGAGTACCTCTTTTTAAAACATTCTAGAAAACTTCCTGAAGAAATTTAGTTTGGTTATTTTCTAAATATATTCAGGGTGTCATTCTGTGGAGACTTCCCATCAAAATGCACTTGTAATTCAATTCTTGTTCATTAACCCATATTCTTGACTCATGAAATCATAGAAGGTTTTCATTTTTTGGTTCTTAGAATGTTTATTGACACTGTTTTGCATCATTTCCTATAGAAGGACCTCATTCAATGAGGAATCGATATCTCTGCCTAATTAACACTGATATCCACTATTAGTTAAATACTCAGTTTGTATCCCAAACAACAGAATTTACAATCAAAAGATTCTTTACCTGATAGCCTAAAAGCTGCTCTTTTAAGAGAAAGCCACGAGGAAACAAGTGGCTTAGGATAAGAGTTTTCCCCATGTAATTGTGGAGTTTTATTTTTTAACTGTTTAATCCATCCATAACAGTAGTTTGTGTTTGTATTATAGCTTGTGACTTATCATGCAGTGAAACATGTTGCATTCCTTTTTCCTTCAAGTAAGGCAAGAGGTAGGGTCTCAGGTTGGGATCTTCAGAAGCAGACACTAAGACAGAGTTTGGCATCTGGGAGAGATATTAGGTAGGCAACACCTGCTCGAGGGCCAGGAGGAGATAGGGCTGGACAGAGGGAGAAGTTGAACTGAAGCAGGCACTAACGAAGCTTCAGCCACACCCTGGGGAGCCCCAGAACATACATGGCCTGTCACAGTTGTCCCACAGTGGACCAAAATGGCTGGTTCCTCTATGTCTGCGTGTTCCTATTGTCACTGTGTGTGGGCTGCCCGGGAAGAGCCTTGGGCCCGTAGACCAGATGGCTCCCTGCTGCAGAGGGTGTCCCCACAGGAGCTGATGGCTGGCTGCTGACGGCACTACCGGCAGCTGGGCAGCAAGACCTCCCTTGGAGGGGGTCTCAACAGCACATCCCTGTGTCCACCACAGTCCACCCCTTGTCCCTTTAGATCTGCCTTTTCATACAGGTGTTGGGGTGAGCTCCTCCAGCTTCCAGGGGGCCTCTCGGGGGATACTGAGAAAGGGAGGATTAGCTGGTGATAAGTGTTGTGACAGGAACCACTGGGTGGTCAAGTTAGTGGGTAAAGGTATGATGAGGAAAGGATATTTGTGTCCTCTCGTTACTGTGATGGGAAGTAGACTCCATGGCGGAGGAGCCTGGCAGCACCACCTTCCTGGGTGATCAGAGTTCACCCGAACTCAGACCTGTCGGCCGCAGTTCACCCTGATGTGATGCAGCATCGCTCTGCCCAGTCCTGCCGAACGTTCATCCCTTTAGACTGATCCTGAGAGAATGCCAGACAAGCCCAGATTGCGGCACAGGGTACAGATACTGAGCAGTGCTCTTCCAAAGTGCCAAGGTCATAGGACTTGTATCAGTGGTCATTTTCTGGTTTGATCATTGTAAGATGTTATATAAGATGATAACATTTGGGAGAGTTAAGTGAAGGGTTTACTGTGCTGCTTTTATAATCTTCCCGTTAAGTCTAAACTTATTCCTAAAACAGAAAGTGTAAAATAGTTTAAAACACAGAAATGTAAAAGAGGGGCCTGAGGCCTGGGCACTATGCCCCACTCAGGCCCAAGTTGCTGTACTTGAACATTTACAGCTGCAGTTGGGCAGGGGAGGACCAACAGGCGTCCAGCAGGCCCTGGGGCTCCACACATCCCCTCCTTTCGCACTGTGAAGCAGCAGCCCTCCAACTTCTGACAGGAGGGATGGTCCCCTCCTTGCCTTCTGAGCCTCGGCTCAGGGACACCAAGTGCCCAAGCAACAGTTGTGGCTTTAAGTTCATTGGGCGCCTTGCTGTGTCTGCTGGCGAAGCGTGTCACCTCTGGGATCAGCAGAGTCTTGAGTTGTGAGGACAGGGAGCACAGTGTCCCTCAGAGGATCATTGAGAGGGGTGGTAAGTGCAGTCATTCCTGCTTCCACCCCTTGTTTCCCAGACATAGTACCATATCAAGGTCTTTGATGCCCTGTATATACTGTGAATGAGAAGACAGTGCCCATCTTCATGGAGCACACCTTCCAACTAGGGCCCCACCTACACTTCTGGCGATCCCAGTACTCCATCGGACTAGCAGCTTCTGGAGGTGTCGAATATCACTCAACCAGAGGACGCCGTGGTCAAGGGCCCACTCCCGCACCCCTTTTGCTGTGCAGGGGTCTTCTGGTCTGGCACAGTGCTCTGTGGCATCCCATGCCAGTGAACCAGACACTCCATAAGCCTCAGTGGTGCTGCCTGAGGACCTGCGGGCAGGAAAGCAAACCCAGACCCAGGGAAAGCTTCTGTTCCTGTGAAAACCGTCGACTTGCTGCCAGGTGCCACCTGGCTGGTCTCCTCGGGAAGGATGCCAAGCAGGTGGCCCGGCATTGGTGTCTCCTGCTGGCAGGCTGGACATCCAGAGGCAACAGTAGCTAAATCAGCTTTAAGAAGCTTAATAAGCTGTTGAGGTCCATGTCTCACACCTCAGCCACTCTGTTCACGTGTCTTGTCGTGCCAGCACTGGGGTGGCCAATGACCGAGACTGGCCAGTGTCAGCTGTCTTGCATAGCTGTTTAATTCCTCTTCGTAGTGGATGCTCTCTGGTGGACACTGATGTGACACAGCAGTGTACACACTTTCCCAGTCATCCATCCACACGCTTCTACCCCAGACCTCCATCTCCCCAATCTTCCAGGCCTGTGACCTGCCAGCCAGGCCCTTCACTGCTGCCCTGAGTCTCTGCATTCTCACTTGGATCCACTGCTCTTACACCAGGTGGATGACCAGGTGCATCTCCCACTTGAGAGCATTTTCCCTCCTCCAGTCTTCTCAAGCCACTGCTGAGGAGGGCTCCAGCGAAGTTGCCATCACATTTCAGCTTGTACACCCACACACTGAGCCAGCCTACCCATAAACCAAGCTTGCTCATAAGGAATCCCCCATACAGCTGCAGGTGTGAGCTGATGCAGGGCACTGGTGTCCCAGTGGTGGGTGACATGGGGCCTGGGCCACCTGCTCATGCAGCTCGCCTGTGCCCTCCGGTGTTTCTGCCTGATTTCCAGCAGTGCATCTGCCACAGGCCCTGCCTGGCCTTACTCCTTGGTGGGCCTGATAGAACTCAGCTGGTGATGGACATTCCAATGTGTGGTCACTTGGTGTCCCGTGGCCGGGCATTCTGTCTCTGCCAGGGGACAGTGAGCACTACAGAATTATTTTTTAAAAGGCACATTCTTCTCTGTTATGGATAGCACAGCCTTCTTCCAGACCTCAGGAGTCTGCATGCGATCCTCCCTCTGGCATTTCAGGTTCACTTAGCCTGGGCCATCATTGTCTCCATGCTTCTAGGAGCCATCCCAGTGGTGAGGTCACACCATTTCCTGGCACACCTGCCAGGGTGTTAAATCTCATATCTCGGGAGAGCTCCCAAATCAGTGAACCCCCCTGTCCCTTTGAACCTGGGTCAAACACCCTTAGAATTCAGTCCCACGTCTTCTCCCAGTTCCCACCAGTGCATTCTTGCTGGGTCATGCAGCTCTGCTGGGGGAGGAGGTAAATTACAGGCCTGATGGCCAGGAGAGGAGATGGAACAGGGCTTAAGGGAAGCAATGCCATCTTGTAGAGAGAGTGGTCTGTATTGTCTTCAAGCAAAGGGGCAGCGCTTGTTCTTAATAGGGACAGGTGGGCCATTTCTACAGGCTCAGAGGAGTTTGGGGTTCAGACGTCCCCATACCAAGTTGAAGGGTCTCCTCCCCCTCCTCCTCCTCCCCTGCACAGCCTAACAGACCTTCCCTGGGTGAGTTGTTAACCTTGTCTGGAGCTTGGCCACTCTAGTAAGTCCTGGGTCTCAGCTTTCTTGCTATACAATCTTGCTGCCCGGGAGCCCCTCTGCTTGTATCAGTGGTGACTAGCAATTACTATCCCATCACCTGTAAGAATTTTAGCCCTTGGATCGCCACCTGTGCTGGATGCTGTGGGTGCTCCACCTAGCCTGTGAGAGGATCCTCGTTGGCAGCCAGCTGGGGAGTGATCCTACTCCAAAATCCTTCTCATCACCGCTTTCTCTCCCACTCCCACCTGTCACAAGTTAGTTTCTCTGGAAGCAGAGACTGAGATGGATTTTGGCAGGCAGGACGTGTGTCAACCTCCGTCAGGGCAGGGAGGAGGCAGGATTGGGCAGAGGGTGGACGTGAGCTGTGGTGCTCCCCTGCTGAGCCTATGGGGAGCTCTGGAGCATGTGTGGCCACCACAGTTGTTCCAGATGCCCCCATTATGTTCCATTGTTGAATGCGGCAGCCCCAGGGAAGAGCCTGTCCTAGGTGAGGCTGCCCTAGGAGCTCCCACCGGAAGTTGCCTGCTGGCAGCATTCCTGGCATCTGGGCAGCAAGTGTTTCCTGGGCTGGAGGGAGAGTACTGGGTGGCGTATCTGTGTCCACCCCAAGTGGTGCTCCATATTTTACAGAGGAAGAGGGGGCACATCTGAGTCCTTTGTCTTATTGTTTTCACCATGCTGCATCCCCTGACAGTTACCACATATTCTGGTAGTAAGGAATCATCATCATCAGTAAAATCATTTTAAGCTCATTTTGAGTTGTTACTCTAGAGGAAATTAAAATAATGGGAATTCTGTTTTCTCACATTGTGTTACCTAAGTAGATGTCTGATGTCGATGCACATACACAGGAAGAGCAGATTGGGGAAATATTATACAAACTTGACATTTGAACACATTTTGGGCAAAGGCGTTTTGGAAGTGGAGCCTTTGAGCCAAATGCTGCTAAGGGGTGGAGGTCTTAGAGTTCACTGTGCTCAGGAAGATCCATAAACAGCTTGAAGACATCACAAAATGAAGGCCTACTCTTGGGTTTGTGGTATTTTTCCCCAGTGGACAAGCCTTGAACAGTCATTACTTTTTGCTGCTTCCTGTGATCTTCTGGTGCTGCTTGAGTGGCGGTTCTCAAAGGGGGCCGTTTTGCCCCATCCCCCACTCCTAGGGGGCATGTGGCAGTGTCTAGAGACTTTGGTTGTCACAACCAAGGAGATGCTACTGGACAAAGGCCAAGGGTGCTGCTCAACATCCTACAACCTGCAGGACAGCCTCTACACCAAAGAATTATCCGGCCCAGATTGAGAAAGCTTGCTCTAAAGCAAGAGCAGAGAGCTCACACTTCACACAGTGTAAATTTTGCACTTTTTGGTCAGAGTATTTGACTAAAACGTCTATAGAGAAAGTGATAAATGTAGTTGAGGTGAGTCATTGTGACCAAAGTGACTGCCCACATGATGCAGCTTCTTTCATGAGCTTTGGTGTATATGAGCTTTCAGCAGCCTGGTGCAAGGCGAGAACAAGTTCAGTTTTCCCCATTAGGTACACGCAAAACTCTGCAAGGAGGATAAGCTACAAAGGATCCTATTATCTGGATAAGAAGAATACGCAGGTAAAACCAGCTGTGTCCTTTCCTTGTAGTGTCTGCTGCAGGGAGAGATCTCTGGAGCTAAGCTGTAGTCATAAGCTGAGTCAGCTGAGAAGGATGTTCTTCTCCAGTTTATCCCTCCCTGTCCCCAATAGACATTCATGGAGTGCCAGACACTGCAGAGTCACAGTCTTGTCTCAAGGACCACCCCCGTGAGCCTGTACCCTCAGGAAGTGTCATGGGCTCTGTGATTGACACCTGAAGGAACCTGAGTAGACGGGAGCACAGAGCTAACATGGGCCCCCCTTTGTAAACGTGGCAGCTCTCGGTCTTGATGCTGTGTGATGCTAGAGAAGCGCCCAGTGAAGGCTGGGATCCTTACCCTGAGTTTACCATGTGAGAGCAGCCCTTCTGGGGAGTGTAGAAACCGGCTCGAGGAAGAAAGTGGGAGCGGCCACTGAGTTGCCTCCATGAGGTTTGAAGCTTCCCAATCCCTCCCACTCAGGCTGGTCAAGTTTCCTCACCACATCTCTTAATGAGATGTTTTTGGCTAAACAAAGAGAGGTCTTCCCCTCACTCTCTTCCAGCATTTCTCATTTGTCTGGAGGGATACACAATAAAGTTTTAAAAACAGTTGGATGGTTTTGCCCACATTAGGTATTTCTGTCGGTTGTCTGCATGTAGTCCTTTGTTTAGTCAGCCATCTTGGAACAAAATGGCAGCTAATAAATTTCCCAATGACCTTATCTTAGCAAATCTGTTATTTGGGTAGAAGTTAGAAACCTCTCATTTTAAAATGGCTGGAAAATGGTGTTGGGAAAACTGGACAGCCACATGCAAAATAATGAAAGTAGTTTACACCATACACAAAAATTAAAATGAATTAAAGACTTGAATGTAAAACCCAAAACAATAAAAATTCTAGAAGAAAACAGGCAGTACACTCTTCGACCTTGGTCTTCGCAGCATATTTTCAAATAGCATGTCTGACCAGGCAAGGGAAACAAAAGAAAAAACAAACAAATGGGACTACATCAAACTAAAAAGCTTCTGCACAGCAAAGGAAACCATCAACAAAACTAAAAGACACCTAACAATTGGAAGAAGATATTTGCAAACCATGTATCTGATAAGGGGTTAATATACAAAACATAAAGAACTCATCCATCTCAACAGCAAAAAAAACTAACAGCCCAATTAAAAAATGGGCAAAAGGTCTGAACAGATATTTTTCCAAAGAAGATATACAGATGGCCAACCGGCACATGAAAAAGTGTTCAGCATCACTAATTATTAGGAAAATGCAAATGAAAACAACATATGACCTCACACCTGTCAGAATGGCTACAATTAACAAGAAATAACAAGTGTTGGAGAGGATGTGGAGAAAAGGGAACTCGCATACACTGCTAGTGGGAATGCAAACTGGTGCAGCCACTGTGGAAAACAGTATGGAGGTGCCTCAAAAAGTTAAGAATAGAACTACTGTACAATCCAGCTATTCCACTGCTGGGTATTTATCCAAAGAACATAAAAACACCAATGCATAAAGATACATGCACCCCTGTCTTCATTGTGGCATTATTCACAATAGCCAAGACTTGGAAACAACCTAAGTGCCCATCAAGGGACGAATGGATAAAGAAGATGTGGTATATATATACAATGAAATACTACTCAGCTACAAAAAACAAGATGAAATCCAGCCATTTGTGACAACTTGGTTGGACCTTGAGGGTATTATCCTAAGTGAAATAAATCAGATGGAGAAAGTCAAATACTATATGATCTCACTCATAAATAGAAGATAAAAACGACAACAAACAAACACATAGAGATTGTATCGGTGGTTACCAGAGGGGAAGGGGGGAGGAAGGAGGGCAAAAGGAGTAACTGGGCATATGTGTGTGATGATAGATTATAATTAGTCTTTGGGTGGTGAACATGATGTAGTCTACGCAGAAATCAAAATATAATGGTGTACACCTGAAATTTATATAACATTATAAACCAATGTTACCTCAATTAAAAGAAGAAGAAAAAACTTCTGGAAATTGCATGTGTGAAAACATGCTCATTCAAATTGAATGTATTTAATCTTACTAATCTTACCAAGGAGATTTTTCTTATTGGTTTTATTTGATGACTGTACTTTAAACCAACTTTGCCTGTGCTTACATGAGAAACATTAACAACCTTGACTCAGTCCTACCATTCATACTTTGGGTAAATTCAGAAACACCCTTAGTTGTCCTGCACATCCAGCCATCTGGATAGAGAACACTAAGGAGGGATGGAATCTCCAGTGACAGCAGGTACAGAATTAGCCCGGCTCTGAAAGGAGGAAGATGGGTGGCAGTGACAGCTAACTGACTGGAGGGGAGGATTGTTTTGATGGGCTGCCGGCCCCAGCCTGGCTGGCAGCAGGCCTGGGAGAATCAAGGAAAGGGAATGAAAGAGAGACAAGGAGGGAAGAGAATTGTGGTAGGGCTATAAGTTGACCCCCAGATGGCAAGAAATAATGTTCAAAAAAGTGACCGTGGAGGACAGAGAGGGCCCTGCCGAGGGGCTGGAGAAGAAATACATGAAGAATGCTTGCTCTTCAATACTCCCCACTCCCGATGGGCACAAGGGGCCTGGCGAGGTGGTTTGAGTCCACTACCCGAGCTAAGATCCTGTGGTTCAAGTTGGTCTTGAGAACATACTTCACACTTACGTGATTTAGTTGTGGTGTTGTCTTCACTGTATGTTGAGAGTGAGAGACACACAAACTAGGAAACGAAAATTCTATTACCATAGAGCATGGAATGCACTAAGTCATTTCATCAGCATCTCTGTTCCCATCATCCTTTCTCGTTGCATTTGGATCTGCCTTTAGAAGAATTATCTTAACAGCTGACAGTAAGGTTAAGTCAAATTTCTAAATCCATTGTTTATTTTACACTTTTTCGCTGAGAAGGGGTTTTGTAGAATATCTCCAGCCTCTTCAAACGCTCACAACTTTGCCCAGGACTTGGCTCTGAGCTCCACTTTGGTGCAGCCTGTTATTTGTGCTAAGTCTTGGACAAAGTCGTGAGTGTTAGGAACCCTGCAGATCCTTCTTGTGAGTACCCTGTACCCCGGCCCTGTTCTCCAGTCTCCGGCTATGTTGAAAGGGTGGTGAATCAGCCAGGCATTTGCTTTGCCAGCTCTTTTACTTACATGCTCTCCAAGCTGTGCATTTCACCGCACTAAACCATCTCGATGTGTTTACAGGAAGAGCACAGGTACTGTCAGCTGAGAGACCAAATTCATAACTTTAAGGCCTTTCATAACAATGATTTTAGCTCTTTTGGAAAAGGAAGCCACCTACCAAAAGTGTGTTTTACCTGAGTTCCAGAAGCTTCTTAGTGACTATCAGTCTTCAGGAGAGTTAACCATGTAAGATAAACTACAGACAGGAAATTGTCACATCAAAATAGTGGGAATTTTCTTTGTCTGATACATATTCTCCCCTTTTCTCCTTATTTCAGCATCTCTGAGCCTATTGTTTGAATGAGATCAAATCCACACACATTGTGTTGAGACCTTAAAAGTGATCTAGAATCCAGGACTAAGTTAAAGCCAATTTCATATATATTTATACATGTAATTTTTTTTTTTTAACAAAAACAAATGTTAACTTCCTCCGTTGAGTCATGTGAAGTAACCATAGTCAGACCTTCCTAAGCAGACTACAATAGTGGTCATTTTGGACGCATTCAGGTCCTAGATATTTTCTTGTTTTAATGTCCAAGCCATAAAATGTGCCTCTGAGTTACATTCCAGCAGAAACATTCACTGCCCTGAGAACGTTGTCTCTGCATATTGAGAACAAGTCACCATTGGCATCTCTCAGATATAGAAAATATTGTGTCGTAGTTCTGTGACTGGTTCACATCCCTAAAATGACGGATTTTCTAGCCTTGCATATGCCTCAGTTTCCGAGGAGACTGTTCTATGCGTTCAGTGAGTTCCCGCGTGGGGATGGCCGACATGGGGAGGAGGAGGCAGGTGGAGGGGGCATGCCAGTAACGTCAAATGAACAGCAAGTGGACCTTTTCCAACTTAGATTTCCTGGTTACCTCCATGTGATTCTTTATTACGTCGTCAAATAAGCCTTCTATGTTCTTTTTTTAAAAAGTTACAGGCTGGTGTGTTACTTCCCATCTGCCTAGTAGGTTGCAGCTTGTGTGGTTTATTCTCAGTGCGCAGGTTTGAATTTAAGGGATGACTTTTCGGGTTGGGTCTTCCCTGCCCGCCTTCCCCTCACCTTTCATGTCGGCACAACTCTTCTTCCTTTCAGGCAAATGAAATGCTGCTCAGTGGGCGGAAGCTGACGGCGCAGGAGGCATGCGGCAAAGGCCTGGTCTCCCAGGTGTTCTGGCCTGGGACCTTCACCCAGGAAGTCATGGTTCGCATTAAGGAACTTGCCTCGTGTAATCCAGTTGTATGTCAAATTCGTTCTCTTACTTTTTTTTCTTACTATGCCCGCTTCCTCCAGAGAGCTCACACGTTGAACCGTATTTCCTGAGTCCCCCACGTCTCCTCCCTGCACAGCCACCTTCGTGTGAGATACTGATGGAGCCACTGCTCCAGATCTGCTTGCCTTGCCTTTGCAAATACCCAAGAATTAAAGGAGTGCATTTCGATCCAAGACTTAGTAACTTTAAAATGTCCTATAAAAGTCTACAAAAAACATTTATGTAATTCTTTACTGTTTCCAAAGCCCTTTCATATAATCACATTTCTTTTGTCTCCCAATGGATCTAAGTTTTTGTTTAATAAATGTGCTGGATAATATTCAATCTTCTAACAAAATTTCATTTAGCAAATTACAGGATGAAATATTATTTAATATTACCTGACATAACTCCCATCTAAGCCCCTAGACGTGTGAACAACCCTCATTAAAATTAAATTTTAGTTAGAAAATCCCCTCACTGGGTGTTCTTAGAGTTTCCATCAAGCGTCACAGCAGTTGATGTCCAGTGCAGGGTCCACACTGGCCCTCAGCAGTGCGTGCAGCTACGGCTGGACTTGATGCTGGGAGAGAACCAGGGTGCAGATAGCACAGCTCCCTTCTGAAATAGGTTGACAACCATTTTGAAGTCTAGAATTTGTCCAATTATCTAGTGTGAAATATACTTTATATGTATATTAGACCTGATGTGTATTGTGAAAAAATGTCTGGTAGCCTTTCTAACAGGTAATTACTCAAGTTTGATCATGGCCTCCATACATTTTGGGGGCAAAGTGGAGCCAGCGCTTGCAGACACACCCTGCTGACTAACTGCTTGTTGTCTGGTCCAGGTGCTGGAGGAATCCAAAGCCCTCGTGCGCTGTAACATGAAGATGGAGTTGGAGCAGGCCAATGAGAGGGAGTGTGAAGTGCTGAAGAAAATCTGGGGCTCAGCCCAAGGGATGGACTCCATGTTGAAATACTTGCAGAGGAAAATCGATGAGTTTTGATTGGCAGGCTGCCTGCTGATGACACTGGAATTGTATTGAGCAGGACATCTGTGGCTCCAACTTGCCCTAATCCGTCGTCACAGCCTGAAACAAGTTCACTTGTAGCTCACGCTTGGAAGCAGGACTTGAAACATCCAAGCTATTTATTATCAAGGAGTTTTTAAGTACTGTAACTTAAAAATAAATAACTACAAAGCTCCTTTGTCCAAACGTCATTATTTTATACTTAATCTACACACGAGTATGAAAGTAATATGGTGGCTCTAGACTGCTCTTTGAAGCTCTAATTTTTGTTATCTTTGGCTAGTACTGTATAAAAAAGAAAACAAGGATGTTTTGTTGGGTTTGGATGGCAGAAAAGTCTGGAATAATGTTTGTTTTCTTTATTTTTCTTTCTAGAACACAGAATCTAAAGAGGTATTAGCCAGCCTCACCTCCCCTGCCCCAAATAGAGATACAGAAAGATCTGAGACTTGCCTTTGTCTGCAAGAAGGTACAGATACCTCAGAGATGGAAAATTGTAAATCAAAAGTAAGACTTATCTTTTAGGATAAGTGTTTCTGATGAAAAATTCACTGATGAACATACCCCCAAACTAAATGTATGCTTAAGATTCACGCTGAGAGATCAATTGATTTCTCCTTCTGTTTTTTAGTAAGTCCAGTTCTTACCCAGTTAACATGAAGAAACCACTGTCTGTCTAGAAGAAAGCTTGTTTTGCAGTATTAGTGAATCACTGAATAGCTTAAGTATGAATATCTAAGTTATAAGTTAGTCTTAGTGGGTTTTAAATAGTTTTTCTGACCCTTTTGAAAAATAACTACATAAGTGCTTCTTGTTGCTGGGTGAGAAATAGTACTTTATATACAGTTTTGGTTTTCTATTTGCAGATATGATTGATGTATTACACCAAAAAAAAGTATTTTTATGTTTATAAAGTAATTTTTAGGTTCACTTAGAATATATTTTATTTAATAAGTTAAAATTCTTTTGGCACACTATTAAATGCAGAAACTCCTTTTTGGAAAAACAACGACCTTATATTCGACATTTAATGTTCTTGGTCTCTGCTTTCACGTCTCCACAATATACTGAGTACAGTCTGGTGTCCAAGAGTGCCCTGTGTAAATAGACGTGCCCATTCCTTTCTGGAGTGGGAACTGAGTCATGATTACAGACGCCTATTATTAGTTAGGCTTCTGAGCTTGCAATTGTATTGAATGTATGAAGAATGAAATAAAATCAAAACCTTATTTTTGTACAGTTTTAAAGTTTATACTTAGAACCGACCACCTCCCAGCCACATGGAGAGCTGTACAGTGTGTAAATCAGCCTTTACCTTGGATTGGTTGGTGCAGTATTTTTGCATCTGTGGGACCTACTTTTTCGTTCAGTAGTTTGAACTATATATAAACTGTACAATCTGTAAAGTTTTTATAGAATAAATATTCAGCTGTGAAAACTGGTTAAATAAAACTAATATTTCTTAACACATTTGAAATATTTCTCCAAGTTTCTCATGGGATGTTTAATCTTTTTTGTGAAATGTTCATATGGGCATACTACATTTGTACAGTTCAAAGAATAATGCACACCTGTGTAACCACACCTCGGGGGACCTGGAATATGACCAGTGTCCTCCCAAGTCATGTCTGCCTGGCCCCCAGGTTACCATTTCCCGAATTTTGTGTCAGTCTTACCCTTGTTTCTCGTTCACAGAAACATAGTCCTAAAACATATCTCCTAGTTCTGCGTATTGTTGAACTTTATATCATCTCACTTGTATATCAGCTTCTGTGATTTACCTCTCTCATTCAGTATTGAGAGAGTTTAAGAGCTTTCTTATCTGTGTCTGTGGGGTTGTAACTTAAGTCTTCTCTATCCAAACCAACAACGTAGACCTTTTCATTCCTGTTTTATAGATAAGGAGCCTGAAGTATGAAACACTTCCTGTGGGGGTAGGACCAGACTTCCAACACAGTTCAGTATGGCAAAGCCCATATTCTGGCCACTGCCCCATGATGTATGTTGTCTAGAATTTACAAATAGGGAATTAATTCAGTGGACTCTCAACGTAGTGATCCAATTCCATAATCCTGGACTTTGCATTCTCCAGGCCATGATGGCCACATTCCCTTTTCTCTTTTGAAGCAAAACTTCTGCCTTTTACCTTCTGGCTCATGAATCAAGCCCAAGTAGGAGGAAGACCTGGCAACATTAAATTCTTAGGCTCATACCCAGTGAGGGCAACAGGAAATGCAATCTCTCATATTGGTAGAAGTCTAAATGAGTTCAACTTTAGAGGAGAATTTGACAGTAACTGGCAAAATAAGTATTAAAAACCTGGACCCAACAACTCCATTAAAGGATTCATCTTAAGGAATGAATTCTTACAGGAGATATGAGAATAAAGATACATATGTAATTAAAGTCATCTCAATTGTTCCTAATAGTGAAAAGTTGGAAACAGAATATATGCTCATCAATAGGGTTTGGGTTAAATAATTATGCCACAACCACTCAGTGGAATCCTTATAAAATCTTAGGTGAAAACACGTTATGGAACAATTCATATCAAGAACCCCCATTATATGCTTTTAAAAGTTGGGAAGGATATACACAAGAAACGGATTCTTTTTTCTATTTATCAGGTTCTCTCCTTACTGCTTCCCAGCTCCTGGCCTGAAATACTGCTCAGCCTCTCAGAAGCAGAAGTAGAAAGCCTGTGACCATTGAGAGCCGGAGGGGGCACTACTGCCCCCTTAGGCCTTCCACCAGGGCCATCCCCTTTTTGGCCTTGCTTCCTCAGCTGTACTTACACTGCAGTACATGCCAGGTGCTATTCTAAACACCATAGGTGTGTTAGCTTATTAATTTTTTTGCAAGTACTCATTTTTCAGAGAATATTTATTGCAATATATATTATATATAATCACTATAAAACGAGAACTCAAAAACAAATCTTTTGGTACGCTGATTTCGTTTCTGACATCCATCTCTGGCGAGAAGACTAGTGAAGACTAAAGAAATCAGAACCCCAAACTTTGAAGATCGTTGAGGGAAATCCATACCTACAAAGTAAACAGAGAAGCACGTGGAGGGCAGCTGGCTAGGGCTGCTCATGCCGCCCCTCTCGGCACCCTGTTACTTGGTCAAAGAGTGAATGAGGAGTGCCCCATGTCTCTGGGCGAAGTGGGAGCCCAGAGGACCAGGCGCCGGCCTCCTTGGACAACTCGCTCTTCTTCGGCCATATCACAGAGGCTCCAACCCCCTTGTACATTACTTCGCTTACACTTACATGGACAAATGTTACGACCTCCAAAGGAAGGAAATTGTGTATGTTGCAGGTGCATTGGCACCTACCAAGTAGTGACGCACATTTTAAGGAAGGGACAGCCCCAGGCTCAGGGCTCTCAGCTGGGTCTGTCACCGCCCTCAGGAAGCTTTCTCACCTGCATGCCCCCAAATCCCAAATGAACGAGCCCATCTGGTGACCTCTCTGTTACTGACCTTTCTATCTTGTAACCAGCTTTCCCCAGCCCATGCCCTTCCTATCCTGGAGTGCACTCGCAGAGCTTCCAGAACATGCTGGCGGGGAGAGACTCAGGGCAGGGGGAACAGTCCTCCAAGGGGCCTTAGGCCTTAGAGTAAAGCCCAGAACTTGAGAGAGTGGGAGAGAATCTGTGACATTGCATGCACCTGTTGATACATGAGAAAACTGAGGCCCAGCGGGGTCAGGTGACTTTCCAGTCGTCATACAGCCTGTAAGTGGCCTGCCACAAGGAGTAGCTAGTGCTCTACACATTCCACTGATCTGTATGCTGCCTTCTCTACACCTTTACCTGCTACTGTCAAATTGAGATGGAAATTGGCTACCGGTAGTGTAGACAAGTGGTCGTCAAACTTTGCACGTTAGAATCACCTACAGAGCTTTGAAAATGCTCAGTGCCCTGGCTGCACGTGAGACTAATTAAATCAAAACCTCTGGACTGAGGTCCAAGCATCTGGGGTATTTAACCCAGGGCAAGTAGCTTCACTTGTCTGTGCCTGGGGGTGGCCTGGAGAGTCCAGTCCAGTTCTGGCATCTCTTGGGCCTATGATTCAGTGCGTGGAAGTGGTGGGGCAGTGGGGCAGGATGGGCAGTTTGAGGCAGCTTGGCAGCTTGGGATTCAGGGCTTTTTCAAGTGGAGGCTGGACCTACCAGAGAATTTTGATGGTCTGCGAACTATTTCTGCATCTGAAGGAGACAGACCAGTCCGCCAAGCTCTCTCAATGCTAGCATTTAAAAATAAACACCCTCGCTGCTTGGCAACAGGGGAAGGGCTGACTATATTCCAGGAAACTCCTCCCTGTCCTCTGGGGAACATTCTGACAGTCTCTGAAGATGCAGATATCTGCTCTGGTGAAAGTGACGTTGCATGATTTGAACATTGGTTTAAAAGTTACTTTTTTGGTGGGGTAGAAAACTTCAGTATTTCAAAAGCAGACTTATGGTCTTAGAGCCATATTATGTCCTTAGATAACTAATAAATTGTTTAATACAGGCATTTATAAGAATAAAAGCTAAGATCTAATGAGTTTTAACATTAATTCCTATTTTCCTAAATTTTACATTGTATTCTAAAACTGGGAGATATATATATATATATGTATATATCACTTATATGAAACACCCTGGATATAACAACTAGACAGATCAACAAGGAAATGGAACACTTGAACATTACAAACCATGTAGATTTAACACACACATCTATAGAACCCTCCACCCAACAGCAGAATGCATATTCTTCCCAAGTGCACATGGAACATTTTCCAGAACAGACTATATGTTAGACAATAAAACAAGTTCTATAAAGTATGTCCTTCAACCACAATGGAGTGAAATTAGACATCAATAACAAATTTAGGAAATTTGAAAATATATGGAAATTAAACATTACATTCCTAAAAAACAGTCAAAGAAGAAACCTTCACAAGTGAAATTAGAAAATACTTGGGGATGAATGAAAATGAAAACATAACAAAGTTTACATAAATTATGTAATAACAAAACACCTATATTTAAAAAGTAGAAAAGTAAAAAGATATCGAGTCAATAACTTAACATTCCACCTTAAGAAACTAAAGAACAAACCAAACCCACAGCAAGCAGAAGGAAGGAAATAAAAAAGATTAGTGCAGAAATGAGTGAAATGGAGAATATAAAAACAGTAGAGAAAATTAATGAAACCAAAAGTTAGTTCTTTGAAAAGATTAACAAAACTGACAAACCTTTAGCTAGATTGACCAAGAAAAAAAAAGAACACTCAAATTACTAAAATCAGGAGTGAAAGATGGGACAGTACTAACAACCTTATAGAAATAAAAAGAATTATAAGGAATACTATGGCAACTGTATGCTAACAAATTAGATAAGCTACATGAAATGGACTAATTCCTAGAAAGACATAAACTACTGAAACTGACTCAAGAAGAAATAGAAAACCTGAAAAGACCTATAACAAGTAAAAAGATTGACTCAGTAATCAAAAACCTTCCGAACACAAAAAAAGCCAGGACCAGATGGCTTTACTCGTGAATTCTATTAAATGTTTAAAAAGGAATCAATATCAATCCTTCAAAAATGCTTCCAAAAAATAGAAGAGGAAGGAACACTTTCTAACTTACTCTATAAGGCTAGTATTACCTTAATACCAAACCACACAAAGACATCACAAGAAAAGAAAACTATAGGCCAATATCTCTTATTAATATGGATGCAAAAATACTCAACAAAATAATCTGGCACCATGACCAAGTGGGATTTATCCCAAGAATGCAAGGCTGGTTCAACATGCAAAAATCAATCAGTGTAATATACCATATTGATAAAATAAAGGATAAAACTACATGATCATCTCAATAAACACAGAAGAGCATGTGTTGAAAAATCCAAGTCATCCCAATAAAAATGCTCAAACTAGGAATGAATAGAAGGGAATTTCCTCAACTTGATAAAGGGCATCTATGAAAAATGCACAGCTAGCA